TTCAAACTAAGTATATGATTCTAAATTGTGGTTTTACATTACTTAGCATTAGCACTTCAATCAAATATGGTTATTATTATTATTATTATTATGTAATCATAATACATTGCCAATAACTGATTACATAATTATATTTTTAGTATAGTAACACATTATATATTGTTAAATCTATGTAATCAGGTAGATAGGACTCAAGACCCATGGCAGGCAATCCATCTAAGGGAAGGACAACTCAAACTCAAACCAGACATGTTTCCGAGGAGAGGTTTCTGAGCCAGCCTTAAGTTGTTGTTGAGGGGGGCACTCAGAATATAAGACTATCTTACAACAATGAAATACTGTAAAATCATTTATTTTCACTGACATTTAATTTCACTATTTTGATATTTTGTTTTAATTTCATAAATTTGGCAGGGAAACAATGAGTTTTACACTGGGTAATTCACATATTCACATGAATTTAATTTAGCATATTTTCACTTATCAGTAAAAATAGCTAAATTAAAAGCCAGTGAAAATTAATGTATTTACAGTACTCCATGTAGCTCCATATTGATGAGATAACAAACATTTCTACAGATGCACAACAATCACACATGTTCAAATCTGTTGTAATGTATTTTAAAAACCACAATGTTGCCAGCAAGTAAGAATCTTTAATTGGTAACACTCTGACTGCATTTGTTTAATTATATAAGTACAAAGTTTGAAATGTTCTTATAAGCATGTATGAAATAGTATGTACAGATTTCAAAGAGCACTGAAAATTGCCTCCAGTTGGACATTTTGAATCAGAACATGAAAAAACTAGGTGTACGTCAACAACCCTGCAGATTAAATCATCATACCAAATCATACTAAATTGGTCAAGCACTGAATTATGATTATTAAATGGAGCACTTCAGTCAAAAACCAAATCAAAACATGTCTGAGAAAATTACCAAAAAAAAGTGACAGCTCATCTGCCAATTTTTTTAACATTTTCTGATTGTTGTTAACTATTCTATCATAACCAATATTTTACTTTCAGGAAAAACAATGGTACAATATGGTACAATGAAACTCAATCAACTCACTATAAAGAACATGTAAAAGTAATTGTTTTTTTTCAAGAGTGTGAAATAATAGCATTAAAATAGAAATTAAAAGAATATGTTTTGGGGAAGTCAATAAATAGTACTTTATTTTTTTGGATGAACAACGTTTACCATGATTTGACCTAGCATCGGTAGGTACAACAAAAATATTCAATCACATGGTGTCAGTGTCATGCCGATGGTACAATGGAGCTTTGCCAACATTATGCAAATCTACTAAAAAATAACAATGAGACATCTAAACTAAAGTGGTGTTCTCACTGGACGAAATAAGCCAATGTCACAACGCCTTTTATTTGAGAATGTTGTTAAAATGTGCGTGTGAACAGAATACGCTGTTGTGGCGTTGGCGTTTTTGACACCGTCGTAAAAGGGGTGGACACGATCCCAAATGCCGTTGTCACACAAACTCTTGCACAACATAATGTGCTATGTTAACACAATATGACGGCCAAACGCCCTCTATCGCCGACTTATTTATGCTTGTGTAATACAAGATGGCGTCAGAGGTTACAGGTTGATTGTCGAACTGGTCAGACGAAGAAACAAGATTACTGATACTGTATGGAAAGAATCAAATATTCAAAGAATGATGGACGGAACGTCTATGGATGCTAGAGTATATGCTGTGATTGCAGAGAAAGCGACTGAAAAGGGAATGGACGGGACCGTCATTACAATGTCAACGGAAGATCAAAACTTTATGTATAAAGTACAGACAAGTGACTGAGCACAACAACAGAAGCGGTAGAGATCCAAAAACTCCAGTGTTTTTATTAAGTGAGAATGCAAGCACACAATTCAGCAGATTATCTAATATTTGCACAACAAAAAAAAACAGTGTTAAGACCGGCGTTTTTTAGACGTTTGAGAACGTAGCTTAAGTCACATCCTAGACACACATTAATAAAAATACTGTACTCTTGTTTCAAAAAAAAAAATGATACAAGGTCAAGGTCAAGTTAAGTTAAGTTTTATTGATATGGTGAGCCTAGCCTTGAACAGAAAATTATGTCTTGGTTGGGGGTTGGGGTAGAAAACATGAATTCATACACCAGGTCATTTATTGCATCCATATATGGTAACAATGAACTTAAGATTGACCTGACCTTTCAACAAAATAGTGCCACCTGATCAAATTATACCAATTTTACAACTTATAAGCTATGTTCATGTTACGAGATCTGGGCACATGCCGAAATATTTTAATCATTCATGTTTGCAGAGGGAGTACAGCAGTTGTGTTCATGTTAGTCAGACCCACTTGGTACCCACTCGTAGTTAGTCAGACCCACTTGGTACCCACTCGTAGTTAGTCAGACCCACTTGGTACCCACTCGTAGTTAGTCGGACCCACTTGGTACCCACTCGTAGTTAGTCAGACCCACTTGGTACCCACTCGTAGTTAGTCAGACCCACTTGGTACCCACTCGTAGTTAGTCGGACCCACTTGGTACCCACTCGTAGTTAGTCGGACCCACTTGGTACCCACTCGTAGTTAGTCAGACCCACTTGGTACCCACTCGTAGTTAGTCGAACTGACTTGGTACCCACTCGTAGTTAGTCAGACCCACTTGGTACCCACTCGTAGTTATAGTCTGACTCACTTGGTACCCACTCGGCTAATATCATGCCCTTATTCATCAATCTATTATTTGACTAAACATGACAGACAATACACATCATATCATTCTAAATATAAATGTCAAGATTTATAGATATATATATATATACAGTATATATATACCTAGCCAAGTAAGGTGCGAACAATGACTTTCATATTGGTATGATATCATATTGGTGAGGGATTTGGCGAGATATTGAATAGAGCCAGTCCCAGTCATACCATCACACACAGAATTACACCTGTCCTCTCCACTGTCCCGGTCCCACCATCACACACAGAATTACACCTGTCCCTCCACTGTCCCAGTCAAACCATTACACACAGAATTACACCTGTTCTCTCCACTGTCCCAGTCAAACCATTACACACAGAATTACACCTGTCCCCTCACCACTATCCCAGTTACACCATTTTTTGACATTTTTTTTTAAATTCACACATCATAAATTTGAAAGCTCATTAAGGATTTGAATAGCTTTTCATGACTTAGATGGCTATTAGAATGATAAAGCCTAGCACAGGTGTCACCAAACACAGATGGCAACAACCAAAATGTGAAATATCTCCACCATCCACAAACAAAATATTACATTTGTATCAAATATCAATATTGAGCTTTTTCACAGAAAGCTGCTTAAATTTTCACATGATTTTTTCTTTAGACAATCTTGTTTGTTAATATATAGAATATAAATAATTATAATATTTGTGAATAGTATTGCCAGTATTTTATTTTATAGACACAGCATATGTATATTACAAGTTTGACCTCATTTATATATAATTTAAAATAATTCTTAAAAATGCTTGTCATTTATATTTATGACAATTTTTCCTTAAATTTACAATATTGAGCACAACAAATAAATACAGTTCACAGATAGCTAGTAAACACTGCTATTTTAGAACCAGGGATTAATTAACTTATCAGTTATAGTGAATAAAATTGATCAACAAATGTTGCATTTTTGGTGGACTTTTTTTATAAAAAAACATTCAAAGTTGTGCCCACCAAAATAAAAAAAAACTTATGGGATATTAGTAAAAAAAAATATTTACCTGTAATTAAAGTTTTGAAGTGACATTTAAATGAGTTTGAATTGTTCAGGGAATGCAAAGGCCACCATGGTATAAGAGAATGAGTGGGATGGTTTTCCATATAATCTTACAGCTGGGATGGGGACGTCTTAATTTGAACATTAACAATGCAATAATAATTTTATCCAAAAAAAAATGATAAATTAATTCCTTGAACCTCTGATAGCTAAACACTTATGCCTCATATTTAGAATAATTTTGTAAAAATTCAATTCTGACATTTTACCAACTAAGCAAATAGAAGTTTGAAAAAAGAAATTACTATTAACTAAGAAATATCAATATTGAGCTTTTTCACAGAAAGCTGCTTAAATTAACTAAGAA